TGCTTAAATGAATGACTAACCCCCTTAACACATTTGCCATAAAAGGAAAACATTAAGAGCCAGAGAATGGTCTAAACCCAAAGCACTTCATGTGGAAAAAAGGAGTATGGTCACCTTACTACATGAAAATTTCCTTTAACAGTTTGTAAAGTCTCCTTTCTAGGTTTGATTATGCTGTCCTTATCCCCCAGTGAGTTGTATCTCCTATGAAATTCATGGATGCTAAAAATTAGGTGATTATTTTGGGGGAAATTTGCCAACTGATAAGATAATCAGAAGTGAGCAGGGAGTTTCAATGCCAGATGTGAATGCCAATGCTCCTTTCTTTTTTTTTTTTTTTTGTCTTTTTTGGTACTGGGGATCGAACCCAGGACATAGCACTTGCTAGGCAAGCGCTTTGCCACTGAGCTACATCCCAGCCCCCAATGCTCCTTTCTAGTTGAAATGAGAAACATTTCTACTTTGACTTCTTGCAGTGGGTGAATGTGGTATTGGATATTTCTCCTCACAAATCTAATGAATTTCCAGATGCGGAATTGTGGAAGTAGCTGAATGTCTTGTCTTGCCTATCAGTATGTGTGTCCTCCAGGAGGGGTTGACTTCCCCCTAGCTTCTAGTGTGGAACATGCTGTGCAGTTTTAGAGTAAATGGTATTGGGCAGTACTGTTGTTTGTATCTTGAGCTTACAAGAAACTGATAGTTTTTATAAAGAAGGAACACACTTAAAGTCCTTTTAAGGTGCAGGGGATGCTCAAGAATTAAAAGTGGATTGATCCCAAAACGATGACTTATGAGTGAGGTGTGACAGCACTCCTGTAATGCTAGCACTGAGGCAGGAGGAGGGACCATACTTTCAAGAAGAGTTTGGTCTACATAGCCTGTCTTCATTACTTCTAATGCTATACTGCAGGAAAGACCGCAGCCATTCCTTCTTGTACTAGTATTTAGTGCCTATTTACTTGGGGCAAACCAAATGTGTTAGTAGAAAGGATGTATGTTAAGAGCATGTTCGTGCTGCACTGGTCATCTGCCCCTTTAAATTGTGTAGCTATAATGGGTCAACTAAAAATGCATAGAAAAGTAGTTGGGGTAGCTTAGTGACAAAGTGCTGCCTAGCAAGTGCAGTGTCTTGGGTTCCATCCCCAGTATACTAGCCCCCTCCCCCCCAAAAAGGAAAAGCAGTTTGATCTGGGTATATATTGCTACATCTCTTGGGGATCCTAGTGTATTGAGTACTGCAACTTGCTGACTGCATGGGGACCCCAAAAATGAACATTTCTCTGGGAAAGGTGATGGAATTGGGTAGAAATTTATATGGGATCAGTTGCTTCTAGAAGTGTTTTGGCAATTCAGGGAGTTGGACTTGGGACCTCAGGGTTGTTAGGTTGTTACATACTCTGCCACTTGAATCATATCTCCAACCCTTTTTGCTTTATCAGGTAGGATCTTGCCCCCTCCCCTTTTCCCCCTCAGGCTAGCCTGGAGTCTTGGAAGTGTTTAGGGGTACACCTCACTCATAAATACTCGTTTTGGGATCAATCCACCTTTAATTCTTGAGCATCCCCTCCAGCTTAAAAGGAATTTAAGTGTGTTCCTTCTTTATAAAAACTATCAGTTTCTTGTAAACTCGATACAAGCAACAGTACTGCCCAATACATACCTAGGCTACCCTCAAACTGATCCTCGCAGTCTGTCCTTGGAGTTGCAAGGACATGAGCCACTTCACTTGGCCTGCTATGTTGTTTAAGGATAGTCTCTTTTCCTTTCCCTTCAGTTGGACAGACCACTGCTTTTGTTTTTTGCCAGTCCTGGCACTTGAACTTGGCCTGGGCATTGTTCCTGAGCTTCTTTTGCTCAAGGCTACTAGTGCTTTACTACTTGAGCAACAGTGCCACTTCCAGCTTTTTCTCTTTATGTGGTACTGAGAAATAGAACCCAGGGCTTGGTGCATGCTGGGCAAGCACTCTACCACTAGGCCACATTCCAAGCTCAACCACTGCTATTTATTGGGTTGGAAACATTTGGGGTTTGAATTTTCAGATCATATTGTTTGAATATAAGTTGCCACAAACAAACTTCTATGTCCTCAGCAGTAGGGGTAAAGTCAGCAGCACCATACCAATCCCTCAGGAGGCACTGAAAATCCTTCCCTGGGCTGATCTGGTTGTCGCCTGAAACCCTTTGCTGTCCTTGGTTTGTAGCTACATCACTGTATGTGGCTGTTTATCTCTGTAGTATGTGTCCCATCCTCTAAATTCAACAGTCATGTATTAACTATTGAACCTAGTACACAATTTCCATTATCCTAGTTGGTTTGAATTTAGACAGAAAGGGGTGCAGTGTTGGTATTTACTACTGACATAAGCATTTGTTTGGCTTAGGGGAGAAATTAACTATCTCTGTGGTGATGGGAAATATTGTCAAGTTGCCTCCAGAACTGTAGACCTGACTTAGTGGCTTAGACCACCAATTTTTATTTTTTTGTCCGTCGTGGGGCCTGAACTCTGGGCTTGGGCACCGTCCCTCAGCTCTTCAGCTCGAGGCTAGCTCCTTAGCACTTAAACCACAGCGCCACTTCCGGCTTTTTCTGCTTATGTGGTGCTGAGGAATTGAACCCAGGGCCTCATGCATGTGGGGCAAGCACTTTAACACTGAGCCACCTTCCCAGCCCCAGGCCACCAATTTCTAGCTGCTCAAATGGTTGAGGTTTAGATGGTCTCAGTTTGAGGCCAACATGTGCAGTAAAGTCCATAAGACTCCAAAATAAGCAAAAGACTGCGCTGGGTCATGATGTGAGTGGGAACAGCATAGCAAGCATAGGACCCTGAGTTCAACACTGGTACCCATAAGCTCCCCTCTCCCTCACTGTTGTGGAACACTTAGTTATCTTTTTCCTTGAGAGCTTATTTGGGATGATAGGTGAGGGGAGACTGGTCTGGGAAGCTACAAAGTGCTGGATTATTGCAAATCCTACCTTTGTGGGATCTTGGAATAATAGGATCATCAAGGAAAGCAGTGTTTTTGTTTTTTTTTAATTCTAAAATCTCTAATCTTAGGGTGTGGGGCGAAGATACGCTCATGTGGTGTTGAGGAAAGCAGACATTGACCTTACCAAGAGGGCTGGAGAACTCACAGAGGATGAGGTGAGAGCCCTGACTGGGAAGGGAATTGGGACCACCTCTAAAAAGAGAAACCTACATCTCACTTCATACCCTCTGCTAGGTGGAACGTGTGATCACCATTATGCAGAATCCACGTCAGTACAAGATTCCAGACTGGTTCTTAAACAGACAGAAGGATGTAAAGGATGGAAAATACAGCCAGGTATGTGACTGAAATGTTGGGCAATGGGCTTAATATCGCCAATTAACTGCCAGAAAACCAGAAGTGGTGCTGTGGCTTGAGTGGTAAAGCACTTGCCTTGAGCTAAAGAGCTCAGGGATAGCACCCAGGCCCAGAGTTGAAGCCCCACGACCCACTAAAAACAGAAAGAAAAAGAAATGGGCCCGGGATGTCAGGAAGTAAAATATGCTCCTCATCCAAATCCAGGTTTTGGCCAATGGTCTGGATAATAAGCTCCGTGAAGACCTGGAGCGGCTGAAGAAGATTCGAGCCCATAGAGGGCTGCGCCACTTCTGGGGGTGAGTTGGGGTGACCCGTACCTGCCTGTTGCTACACTATCAGCAGTGATTCCTTGTGCTGTCTTCATTTTTTTTTAAATATTTTTCAAGTGCTGTACATACACTGATCTTTCTCTTTTCACCTGCAGCCTTCGAGTTAGAGGCCAACACACCAAGACCACTGGACGCCGTGGTCGCACTGTGGGTGTGTCCAAGAAGAAATGAGTAGGCCTTTTCTGTTAATAAATAGTTTATATACTGATGGCTTCTTGCTTTGTGCTTCATTTTTTTTCTCCTGATAAAGGAGATGCTGAACCCTGTTGGTTAATCATTTAGCAGAATATTGCCCATGCTCCATAAAACAGGGGGTTGTGTTAAACGCAAGTGTTTCACATCAGAAATAGCGGAAAGTAAGCTGGGCGCTGGTGGCTCACGCCTGTAATCCTAGCTACTCAGGAGGCTGAGATCTGAGGATCCAGGTTCAAAGCCAGCCCAGACAGGAAAGACTCATACCTCCAATAAACCACCAGAAAACCGGAAGTGGCACTGTAGCTCAAGTGGTAGAGCACTCACCTTAAGCTGAAGAGCTGAGGGACAGCGCCCAGGCCCAGAGTTCAAGCCCCATGACCGACAAAAAAAAAAATAGGGGAAACTTTTGCCAACTAATATTTCACCTCCAGAGTACTGCCACACCTAAATAATGAGGGGTGCGGGGGTGGGGGCTGTGTGGGCCTTGACTGCAGCTTTTATACTTCCCTTGGGTATTTATGCTCAAGGCTATTGCTCTGCCACAGCTCTGCTTCCAGCTATTTGTTCCTCCGGTGTGATTGTCTCACAGACTCACATGCCTGGTCTGGCTTCCAAACAGTATTCTCAGATCTTAAGCCTCTGAGTAGCCAGAATTACCAGGCCTGAACCAGTGGCACCCAGTCTGCAAAAAAATACTTTTTATGTGAAAGCTTCCTGCAGCTTGCGAACAGAGCCAACAGTTTGAAGGTGGCCTGGGGGTTGGGCTGCACAGCTCTTGTGGGGACGGGGTTCATAGTAAAACCAGGTTCTGCTTGGGTGAGTGGCCCTGCGTCTAGAATTGGGGCTCACTTACGGGAAAATGGCCCCGATGGATGTACAGTTCCCTCAGGACTAGAGAAGTGACATAAAGCAGAAAGGTGGTTTTCGGGAGGGAAGCCGCGCCACTTCCGGCACGGGGGGATGATGGGAGTGGGTGGGGCCTGGCAGCCGGTCTCGGAGCACATCCAGGCAACGGTCCTGGTGGTCCCGGCCGCGCCCAAGCGCCTGTGGGCACGAGCACGTGCCCCCTGCAACCCACCCTCACCCCGCTGGAATAGGGCGGCGTGGAGCCGGTCTCCGCCCCCAGACGCCGCCATGCCCCTCAGCCCCTTCCGCCGCCTCCTACTTGCTTCCCTGCTGCTGGTGATGTTGTGGACGCTCTTCGGGCCCTCGGGGGTTGGGGAGGAACTGCTGAGCCTCTCATTAGCATCTTTCCTCCCGGCCCCCGCCTCACCAGGACCTCCCTTAGATCTGCCGCGCCTTTTGATCCCCAACCAGGAGGCGTGCAGGGTTCCAGGCGCCCCACCTTTCTTGCTGATTTTGGTGTGCTCAGCTCCAGGGAATCTGAACCAGAGGAATGCCATTCGGGCCTCGTGGGGTGGGCTGCATGAGGCACGGGGCCTCCGGGTGCAGACGCTCTTCCTGCTAGGAGAACCCAGCAGGCAGCAAGAGAACTACTTGGCCCAGGAGTCAGTGGCCAGGGCGGACATCTTGCAGGCTGCCTTCCAGGACTCCTACCGCAACCTCACCCTCAAGACCCTCAGTGGGCTGAACTGGGCAGATAAATACTGCCCCATGGCCCGCTACATCCTCAAGACCGATGATGATGTTTATGTCAACGTTCCTGAGCTGGTGTCTGAACTGATTCTGCGAGGAGGCCCTCCGGAAAGATGGGACAGAGGTCTGGAACCCCACAAAAAGGGCAACGTTATAAATGAACAGCAGAAAGGTGGCCAGGCCTCAAGGAGAGATAAAGTGCCTCTCCTGTACCTGGGCCGAGTGCATTGGAGAGCTAGCCCCTCTCGGGCCCCGGGGAGCCGGCACAGAGTGTCCGAGGAGCAGTGGCCTGACACCTGGGGTCCTTTTCCACCATATGCCTCAGGCACAGGGTACGTGCTGTCTGCTTCTGCTGTACAGCTCATACTCAAGTTGGCCAGTGGAGCACCCCTTCTGCCACTAGAGGATGTGTTTGTAGGGGTAAGTGCTCGCCGAGGAGGCCTCACCCCAACCCATTCAGTCAAGCTGGCTGGTGCCACCCACTACCCCTTGGACAGGTGCTGCTATGGGAAATTCCTGCTGACATCCCACAAGTTGGATCCCTGGAAGATGCAGGAAGCCTGGAAGCTACTGCATGGATTACATGGGGAAAGAACTGCACCTTTTTGCTCCTGGCTTCAGGGATTCCTGGGCATCCTGCGGTGTCGGTTCATGGCCTGGCTTCATAGTTGACAATGCTTGGAGCTGTCAGAGTAAGGAGCCACCAGTCCAGCCAGCACCAAGACCTCTTTCAGGCCCTAAGGGCTCTTGTTGGCTAAAGCGGATTAACTTCCTCATACCAGACTGAGTCTGTCTCCAGATAGGAGCTTGGAGTTTGGCTTTCCAGCCCCAAAGCTGGTCACCAGATATACAATAATAAAAATCCTGGGATTGTTCCATTTCCTGAGCCAGGGAAAAAGAGGGGCATGTGCTCCTCAATAAAACTTGCTTCTCCACCCTTTTAAGTGCCATGTGTCCTCACCAGAACTCCCAAGACATACCTAGAAAACTGAGGGACCAACCCTGCTGAATAGGAAGAGCACTCCCCCAGGGACAGAGAGGAGAAAGCACATAATCTGGAGAGGAAGGCCCTGAACAGGCCACAACCACAAGGTAACTGAAGTAGGGAAATGGAGGCAGGACACTGACCCCTCTGGGCCTAGATAGTCCCATGTTGGCAAAGGGCAGTAGAGGTCCACAGGACATTTGAGGCATATTACAAAAACCTTGTTTTAATACCAACCCACCCAAGGAACCAGTTGTCTACACAGTTGGGAAAAGGGACACATGTCCCCTCATTCCAGGAAATAGTTACTTCCCTGCAGGTGATCTTAGGAAGAGGTTGTTCCCAGGCCACCCTGGAGCCTGGCTCAGCGCACAAATCTGTCCAGTGCAGATGGTCGGGCCCCTGTGGGCTTAGCTTTCTCTTGTTTCTGCTGTTGCTTCTGTTGCTGCTCAAGACTCTGTCTGACTTTGTCCTAGAAACAAGTGAGGGGACACAGGGAGAGGTGACCAGTGGCTGCTAGCAAGATCTGACATATAGGCAGGAGAAAGATGCAGACTGGGAGGCCAGGCGAACCCCAAGGTTCCTTTACCCTGTGCTCCTTGTCCATGACCTTCTTCTTCCTCTTCACCAGACTTGCTGTGGAGCTGCGGCCCTTCTGCTTCAGCTTGGGCTGGAAGGGAGCCTTGGCATCCGGGTCATAACCCTGAGGGGGTGGACAGGAGTAAAATTAGTAACAACTACCTCCTGAGACATAGAACCGGGGTCAAGCCCAGAGTAAAGGGAGGAATGTAGGGTGGGAGAAGGGTCTCGATGCTCAGGTGCTACTCCATACCAGCCTCTCTATCCGCTCCTTCTTTGCTTGCTCCAAAGAGATGACATCTACCTCTGCCAGAGCTCGGGGGTCCAGACAGATGAGCTCTGCAGGTACCTGAAAGTGTCACAGAGGGACAGGTATGGATTAATGAGCCACAGGAAGGTAACACCAGGAAGGCACAAAGGCCAAAGAGACTGCTGAACCCTATCTCCCCAAAAACCCCAGATATGCGATCACTGAGCTCTCTTTTTCTCCTAGCCTGAACCGAAACACTTGGCTCCAGCAGGTAGCTCACCTTCTCCAACAAGGCCTTCACCTCCCATTCCTGGCGCTGTTTCCGGCTCCTGTATGGGTTATTCTCCAGGCCATCAAAGTTGGGCTCAGCAGCCCCTGGCAGGGAAGGAGAGGAAACCATAAGGAAGAATCTAGTCCTTTAGCTCCAGCCTAACCATGTTCCCTACCCACTCTTGACTGTTTCAGGCCCACACACATTTTACCCAGTTGTCACTTTCTGCATTGTCTGTCCCCTAGCCCACTTACCAGGGACCAGCATGCTGGTGATTCCCCCACTGTGCCCAACTCCCAGCACATCTTCAAAGGGGCAGAACTGAAGATCATGCACATGGCCTGAGAGCCGGTGAGTGAGGTAGGGCTGCTCCAGGGAGGGTGGGCTGGCCTTGCCCTGTCCTGCCCATATGTTGACAACGTCACCCATGCCCGCAACCAACAGTCCCCGCTGGGAAAAGGCCACGTGCCCTGCTCCCTGGGGCAAGGTCCGAGCACTCAAGGGCTGGAATGTCCCTCGCAAGTCAAAAATCTTCAGCTGGTGGTCCAGGCCAGAGGTAGCCATGTACCTGGGGGGAGAAGAGGGAATCAATTCATCTGTCAGCACTAAGGCCTGCAGCCAGGTCTAAGTGTTCACATCAGGGCAGGAAGGAAAACACTAATAATATCCTCTACCATTACGCTAACTCTCCCAGTAAGTTTCACACTATATATATGTCCCTTTTATAAATAAGGAGACTAAAGTTAGAAAAAAGAAATCGGAATCATTGAGTAGTCAAGTCAGGGCTTTTTTTTTTCCCCTTTGGTGTTTGTGGGCCTTGAACTGAGGGCCCTGTGGTTAACTAGAGTCTCACAAGGACTTTTCTGCCTGGACTGGTTTCAGACTGCAATCCTCAGATCTCAGCCTCCTGAGTAGCTAGATTTACTGGCATAAGCTACTGGCACGAAATCAGGGCTATTATTTTTCTTTTTTCTTTCTTTTTTTTTGGTCAGTCGTGGGGTCTGAACTCTGGACCTGGGCGCTGTCCCTCAGCTCTTCAGCTCAAGGCTTGCGCTCTACCACTTGAGCCACAGCACTACTTTCGGCTTTTTCTGCTTATGTGGGCCTCATGCATGCAAGGCAAGCACTCTACCACTGAGCCACCTCCCCAGCCCCCTATTACTTTTCTTTTTACATATACTGTTGTTGTTGTTGTTTCTTTCATGTCTAGGGTCCTACCTATTATCACCATTCTACCCTCTTAGGATCTAAGGGAGAACACATGTCAAGATACACCTAAATATGGTGTCCTATACTGCATAGCAGCTCAGCAAACAGCAGATGCAGTCATCAGAGAAGAGTTCCCTATACACTAATAATTGCTAATAAAACATGTAAAAAATTAAAAAAAAAAAGACTTCTCTGGAATAATGGGATCTGCACAGTACTTAGACCAAGTCAGATATATTAACACCAATGTAGATACAGTGAGACAGAAGCAGGTATATGGACAGATGGATGGGAAATGTGGCAAGTATGTTAAATCAAGAGGAGACCAAGGGGCTGGGAAGGTGGTTCAGTGGTAGAGCGCTTGCCTTGCAAGCATGAGGCCCTGGGTTCGATTGCTCAGCACCACATAAGCAAAAAGAAAAAAGCCAGAAGTGGCACTGTGGCTCAAGTGGTAGCGTGCTAGCCTTGAGCTGAAGTGCTGAGGGACAGTGCCCAGGCCCAGAGTTTAGGCCCCACGACCAGACCCCCCCACCAAAAAAAAAAAAAAGGAGACAAAGTAGGGCTTCCTTAAGTCCAACTAAGGAATACTCATTGCTCATTAGCCCAACACTGCTGTAGGTAACAGTGACAAGTCACAAAGTGAAGACCACATAGACTTTAAGAAAAGCTACTTAGAAGCCGGACACTGGTGGCTCACACCTATAATCCTAGCTACTTAGAAGGCTGAGACCTGAGGATTCTGGTTCAAAGCCAGCCCAAGCATGAAAGCTCTTGAGACTCAGAATTCAGGCTCCACGACCTGACCAAAAAAAAAAAGAAAGTAGCAAAGTAGGGGGGGGGGCAGGGGAGGATGGGAAGGGATGGGAAGGGGAAACAAAGGAGGAGGCTACAATGCTTGATAAGAAATGTACTCATTATCTTGCCCATGTA